TGAATGTAGCTGAAGAACAGATGAATGCAATCTGAATGCTGGACTCTCATTTTCTTAGTGATATAAAAGATCTTGATGTGTATAGAATAATTAGACGTGATCATACATACTTGATCTTTAGACTTTGGTAAAATATGTGACCACTTGTAGCTCAGACTGTTTCGTCTAAACTCTTGCTCATAAAGGGTCTGTTTATTTCTCCTCTACCTCTGATGTCCTTACCATGCCACTTAGCTTAAGTGTTGCTAAATAGGTGTAAATTCTTGTAGCATTTACTCATTTTCTAAAATACTTTTTTTGCATTCTTGTTCTCTAGTGGATGTTACGTGCTATTTCATATTTAATCTTATATTAAATACTTCATATATATGTGCCAGAAGAGGTAGGATTACAGGTCCTCCATACCCCTTTGTCTTTTGTGCTCAGAATTAAAACGAGGTTTTCTTTTTAATGGCTTCCCTGTGTTTGTCCCCGTGACTGATAGCAAGGGACATGGCTCTGTCATGCCCTCACCACCCATGTATCATCAGCTGTTATCTTTCTTCCAAATCTGTTCATTTTCTATGGGGAATGGATCAGATCAGAGCAGAACAGAGCTAAGTGTCTGAGACTGTAGAGTAGCACTACAGGCCAACAGAAACTGGGAGACTGAGGCCTGGGATTAAAGAAGAGGTGTTCAGAGGCAATCCTAGGAGGAAGAAGTAAGTTTGCATAATGAAATAGCAAGAGAAAGGGTAAGGTCTGTTGAAATAGCATTGAAGGGTTGATCGAAGCAGGTGAACAGGTGGGAGAGACATCTTACAGTAAACTGTGTGTGGTGGGAAATCTGCAAGTGTCTTTGTTCAGAAACATATTTAGGAGGAGAGGTCAGGACACCAGGACTTTAAGAAAAGCTTGAGAAAGTAGATGCAAAGTGTGGGGCTGGATTTCAATAGGGAGGGGGATAATTAAAGCTGGCCACAAAAGAAGATTAGACACAACTGGACTTAAATAAATTTACATGGGAAACTTCAATTGTGGTTTAAAAAAATTTAATGAATACTAAATCTATTTTTTGTGTGCTGTCAAATTTATGTTTGACATAAATAAGTAATTAGAGGAACACTTTCTTTTAGAGTTGTTTGCTTTGACCACTTTGCACTGAATAAACAACATGAATTAATTGTTGAAGTATCTTGAGACAGTGAAAAAAGGAGCAGGATGATTTCTAATACAACAAAAAAGTTGCATATACTGCTCTATGAAGTGTTGGCAGAGCTTCACTGGGAGGTTAACAGTGAAGCAGAAGCAGAGAATCTTTTTAGCTGCTATTTTGTTCTGGAGCTTGGAACCAAGTAGTTTATAATTTTTTTAAAACAGCACATGTGCTTGTAGAATGACATCATTGTTAATAATGTATTTTATTTTGAAAGTTATTGAAAGAAAAGTTATTGAAAGTTTTTAAAGCTGTATTTCAGTCTTGTTCTAATCAGCATTTTTTTTATTTCTCATGAGGGCCAAGCTTTAGGTTACCAATGCACCAGTGTCTGTCTTAGGCATAGTATTCTTATAAGGACCTTACTTTTTTTTTGTTCCAGAAGGTGGATAGGTAGATTGGGATGTTGAAATGAAATGACGGGAGATCCTTTGTTTGGTGGCATGTTCCTTTTTTACTTTCTTTTACCTCAGTTCAGTATTACTCAGTTAAATATCCTGGTAAAAGATGAGGTATATTAACAAGTTAGGATTTAATCAAGTATCTATAGAAGTTTTTGTGTTAGTCCAAGTGTCTTTGTCCACTAAATCTATAATCTCAAAAGATTTGTTCTAGGAGCGTCCACTGCCCATAAAACATGTTGTGGCTGTAACTATTCTGTCTTTTCAATAATTGCTGTTGTGATCAGTACTAGCACGATTTAGATGAAGCATTCTGGTTAAACAGCATTTAATATTAGTATAGGTGTGGGGTGCATTCAGTGTTCAGCAGAGGTGGGAGATGCATTCATCAGCTCTTGAGTTAGCAGTTCGACTAGTCTGGAGACTTGCCTTTTGCTTTCCCCTACAATTGGCTGCAAGTGTTAAGAAGCTTACTTGGGAATTGCCAAGTTAGACTCATTGACCAAGTTTATTGAGTTTTGCATGTTTACGCAAAGCCTTACCACTGCACTGCAATGTTTAAGTGTCCGTCTAAAAAAATTTCTTTGAGGTCTGAGGCAGGTAGGAAAAACAACAGCCTTCCTCAGTGGATCTGCTGGGGATTTAGCCGATTTGAGTCATTTTGGTCTCTGACCACGTAAATGAAGGAGGCACTGTGGCTGAAAACACAGCGTTTCAGTTCTCTGGAAGTTAATTTGTAAATACACTTCTTCCTGCAGAATAATAATAATCCTGTCTTATTCCTTATTTACCTTATATATGGAAATGATTGTATCTTGTGTATTAGCTGACAGTAGTTAATTCTGAAAGCACTTACATGACAGAAGGCAGCTTTAATGTTTCAAATCTCTCAGATAATGTGCATCCATCTGTTCTTTAGTAAATGCATCACCTCTCTGCATACTGATGATTTCTGATGTAGCACTGCTTGTAATTAAATTTTGATAATGTATTTTTACAGGTTTCTTGAAAAACCAAGTTAATTCATGCAAATGCAGAGTAAATGGAAACCACTTATGACTGAAGCTGATTTCATGAATTGATGGTCACTCAAAAATGTTGGAATAATTAAAAATGTATAATAGTACTAGGGTATGTTCATTTTTTTAATTGACTGGAATTTCATTTGGATATAACAGTAACAACAGTGATATTTTTGTCACTCAAACCTTTAGCAGATTCTTGCATTTGATTACTTAAGTGTTTCAGTGCTGACCTTTTATGTTTGTTGCTTTTAAATTGAAAGTATGTATTAAATTATTGAAACAAATACAGCATTTGCAGTTTTATCAAGTACATCCTAAACCAATAATTGATGCATATATAATACTGCTGATACCGAAAAAATGCAATTAAAACTTTTAAGCTTCATTCATGGCTACTTAGAGAATCATTTGTGGTAGAAGCTAAAATCGCTAGATTGTGACAGTGTAAGCCTCTTGTTCAATCTCTTTTTTTTTTTTACTTTTTAATTGCTGATTTTTATATTTAATGCTTCAGAATTTCCAAGACTTCTCTCTTTTCATGAGAAAAGAAGATTGTAGTGTTGTCTTGTTCATGATGCTTAAACTATGCTGCAAGTCTGATAAATAGGTTGTATTAATGTCGGATTATATATGCAACTGAATTTGACATTTGACGAAATGTTGTTATTAAACATGACTCCAATATGCTACGTTTTTCAGGCTTTGGGGAAAAATGTTAAGTGAAAACATTTCTCTTACAGCACACTCTTTGTGGCATCTTTCTCAAGTGCTACTTACTGCATATAGAAAATTAAACACATTCACTTTAGATGCCTCTTGAACATAAGAATAGAGACATTAGCTTTTGGTTTGGTTCATGTGTCCTAAGTGTCCTAGTGCTTTTTTTGCAATGGTGAAAACAAGATTCAGCACATTCCATTGAATGTGTGGAGCTTAATTGTCTTTTAGTATTAGCTTCTCATTCATAAATTGGAGCTAATCGCTAATGGATGCTTTCTTTGGACACGATATTTCAGCTTTTGACCTTATAAGGTTTTATTTGGGGGAATCGTCATCTGGGTAGATATGTGGATACTTGAGAACTGTGTCTTCGGGTTGTAAGTAATGTTTCCCTGAGGAAGACAGGTGCAGAGAGGTACAGAATTCCATCTATGAATCCTCCTCAGAGCAAGACTTGAAAAACATCTGTAAATATGTTTCTGTGGCTTTTGTAGTACAACACACTGAAAATTTCCGTAGAGCTCTGGTTTCTGATAATTTCTTCCCTACTTACCAGTAAAGTGAATGTTTATAGAACTGTCATGGAGAAAAGTTGGCTCCACACACGATGACAAAGCTGCTTGTGTTCTCTTTGTGCACTTTTTCATGTACAGCCTATGTGCATACAGTGAATCTAATTACTTGTTGAGTTCATGTCCAATTTCACCTACTCAGCACATTGCTTGAGTCTAGGGAAACTGCAGTCTGGATGCACCAGCCTTAAAGGCTATGTATGTATAGCTGGAAATCTTACACTAAATTTAAGAACCAATTAGACTGTGTTATATCCCTCTGTTCTTACATATTGCTTGGATGGACATGTGTAGCTGAGTGTGTGGATAATTTGGAAATCGCATCAGTATTTTTCAGTTTCTATTAATATGCACCTAAATTTGGCCTCTTTGTAACTTCTCAGAGTCTCATTTAACACTTATTGTAGCTTCTTAGAGTTTTACTGCTAACAGTGATTTTTTTTTTCCAGGTGAGGTATGTGCCAATTCTGGGCCACATGGGCTGCTTAGTGATGTCTGCTTTTGACCACTGGGCATCTCTGTGGCCAGCTTAAGAATTGGCAGTGATAAGGCTGTATTCTTTAACTGGTGTTCTCTTTTTTATTTATCTGAGAGAAAATTAGAGTGGCAAGAAATTAAACTTTCAATTATACCTGAAAATATGCCTGCTCTTAATGCATAAGCCCAAAAACAGTTAACTTGTGGATAATACATAAAGTCTGTAATCAAATGAGAAGGAAAATAAATGCCATTGGAAATTATCTGTGTCCAATTAGGAAGTAATTTCACATACTTGGATCTTCTGTTAGCATGAGTGCTAATGGTTCTCGTAGTTTCTCTAGGAGGGTAAGTAGTTCCTCTGAATTTTGCAGAATCTGGTACTTACAGAGACCATGATTAGACTGTTACACAGAAGAAATAAGTCTCTTGCTAGAAAGTTGCCTGTAGTTTGTTTGGGTTTTTCTAGTTGCGTGTCAAGTATAAATTATTCCTTGCTTCCTGGAATTTGAAGTTGTCAGGAATAATACAATGAAATAGATTTTTACTTCTTTATGTAATTAAAAAAACCTAACTTTTGTAATTTTCTACTTTTTCTTTATCTCCTTAGAATGTGAAAGCATTTGCATCTTCAGATAGCCTAGCCAAGGTCCAAGAAGTAGCAAGCTGGCTTTTGGAAATGAATCAGGAACTGCTCTCTGTGGGCAGCAAGAGGCGACGAACTGGTGGACCTCTTCGAGGTAATGCTTCCTCAAGCCAAGTAGATGAGGAGCAGATGAATCGGGTCGTAGAAGAGGAGGAGCAGCAGCAAAGACGACAACAAGAGGAGCAGCACATTGGGAGGAATGGGGAGATAGGAGAAGAACCTGGATTTGATGACAGGCATGAGTCTCAGCAGGAACAGTTAGAAGAAAATAATAACAGACTTATTACAGTGGATGAAGAATCCACTTGTAATCAAGAGGAAGATGATGATGAACATGCTGGTGATCAAGAGGAGGAGGCGGAAGAGGAGGAGGAAATGGATCAGGAGAGTGATGATTTTGATCAGTCTGATGACAGCAGTAGAGAAGATGAACACGCGAACAGTAACAGTGTCACAAATTCCAACAGCCTCATGGACTTGCCCATTCACCAGTCATCGCCATTCTACATGAAGACAAAGGTGAGAAGCTACATTTTTTTGTGTTCTTCATCCTCATTAAGTTCAGATTTTGGATAAAAAAAATTGCATATTTAACATAAATTAAAGTTTTACAATGAAATAAAGATTTTACTTCCTAAAGAGATTATGATGAAGAATTTATGCAGTCCACAAAAACAATGCTGTTTTAACTGTTAGTAATCAAATTATTTTTGCATACATCTGACATGAGTAAATACCCCTGTGCATTTTAAGGAATAGAACTCTTGATGGCTATATTCAGAAGACCACAGTGTTTCATTATAAATACTTTAATATAAGACCCTCCTGGCATTTTTTATGGTATTTTCCTTCTCCAAGCAGGCAAGAAGGAAGGTAAGAAATACATATGAGGCATTCTGTGAGAAGATCTGGTTCATTTAGATAAAAACACTGTAATGGAAAAAAAAGGTTGGAAAACCATGAAACAGGAAGTTTTTCCTTCCGACCAGGTTTTAGTGAGTTTGTGGACAAAATACAGGGTAGAGAAAGTGTGTTAGGGAGTTATGAAGTTACATAATGTCTGCTTGTGAGGACCTTGTAAGTTGAGTGTTGATTGTTGAAGACTTGTGATTTGCAATAAGAATCTGGAAATTAACTTTCGTATTTTTATTTCTACTTACATAATCTAACATTTTATGTTACAGTAAAAGGTTTTGGTGTACTGGCTGCAGTGTACATTAGTAGTTCGCTATATTTTCCAAATTCTCTAGGAAGGAGGAATTCCATTAACTCAGCAGCAGCAAAACCTGAAAGAATAATGAAAGCAGTGATACATACTAATAAGAAAGAAGAGCAGGCCAGTGTGCTTTTGGAAGAATGTTGTTCCCAAGCCTATGTACTAATTTCTTTTGTTTAATCATTAATTGGTAATAGAACACCTAGCTTCCTCTCACCATTCCAAAAACAAAACCCCCTCAAATTTTTAAATTTTACTTTAAAAAAAAAAAATTAAAACCTGATGGAAAACAAAACAAAATAACAAAAAAAAAGTCAGTTAATATAAATTAACAGATTGAGTATGAGCATAACCATACAGAGATGGATAATCAGAGTTGAAGATGCACCTGAACAGGTAAAGAGGTTGAACATTTTGCAGCAATATGTTTTTTGTTAATAGCATTAGTATACAATTCACTTGAATGTTTAAAGTACCAAAGCTAGCATCTTTGATTTTTGAAAAGTCATCACGTTTTCACATGGGTTTTTAATAAATTATATAATTTTATATCTATAATTCTACCCTTCAAGGTATTGAAGTATATTCTCTCTAATTTGGAAATACTGCCATATTTCATTATCATTGAATTGGCTTTTTATGACTGAAATTATTGTTTTTATTTCAATGTGTTGGTTTTCTTGGACTTAGTATGACTTATTGAGTATCATATAATATAACAACTTGCATCCAGTATGGACAATATTTAATGTAGGAAATTCTCACACGCAAAAATTTATTTTTAAGTCTCTGAATTGGAAACTTTTTGAAGTGCTTTGTAAATAACTGCACTCAAATTACATACAGACAGAGCAGCATAATTTTCGGTCACGGTCAGTCCTGAAGCTTTTTTTATTTTCTTCAATGATGAATGCAGGTTTTTTCTTTCTTTTTTAATGCATATTTGACAGAAACCGAAACAAGCTGGTATAGCCTGAAGGAAGCCCTCTGAAAGATATTTGTACAAATGCACAATTTCTATATGGCTTGGTTACACATTAAGACTGATAATGCAACATTAATGTTGCCAATTCATTAATAAATTGACATTTAACCACAGGAACACATTCTGTGTTAAGAAATCTTATGGAAATATATCTGTGCTAGCATGAATCAATTACCAGAGTAAAAATAAACATGACTAATCTGCTACTTTTGAGAAGAAAAAGGAGTGTTGGTAGACTCATCAGCTGTATTTACAAGTGATTTCTGGTTCTACCTGTTGAAGATTAGACTCATTCTAGGAGATTCAAACCTGGTAGACTTATTTTTAGCGTTTCAGATATGTTTCTCATTGTATGTATTCTCTAGTACGTTCTTCTAACTCTGGCTGAATTACCTTGCTGTGTGCTGTACTCTATGAAACTTGCTCTGTGTCACCACTGTCTGCGGTGATGGCTGAACCCCCTACTTGATGTTTGTGTGTCAGATGTAAACCTGGCTCCCCAGAAGCTTGCATTCCTAATACAGCAGAGTTTGGTCTGCTTGTATACATGAGGAACACACTTTCACCACTGCCCAATACCAAGAGATACGAAAAGAGACTCAACAAAATAGCAACTGCTACTGCCATAGGTGTAATTGTGCATCTCCTCTTAACTTTTGGATATCTTTGTTCTTCTTCCTTGTACTTTTTATTCCTTTCCTTGTAAACTACTGAGTAAAGTTTCTCTCTAATCTGACTTTTTTTTTTCTTTTGCTTGTTGGCCTGCAGAATCCTGTGTGGTTAAGGAAGGAAATGTTCGTTTCCTGCATAACACCACAATGTACCCTTCTTGAGTTTGCTGCCTGTCACCTGGGCTTCCACTTGGCAGCAGCAAGCTCTCTGTGTTTTACCTGATAAACTTAATCAGAGGCATAAGCCCCATGTATGTATATAAAAACATGTTTTATACATACGTTTTCTGTAATGTTTATATAGTATATATAAAACTATAAAAAAATATTTTCCTCATAGTACCTCTCTGTGCAAATAACTGAGATAATTGCTGCCATCATGTTGTGAAAATGTTATGACAAGGGCAAGTGCACTTGAAATGAGAAGGCCAGTGGTTCATGAGAGTCTTCATTGCATTCACCAGCAACACCCAGGAACCCAGATGGATCCTTGTGCTTATCAGTTATGATTTCCTGCATAAAATGTTAGGCTGCTCTGTATTGATTTATATTTTTAGAAAATGTCACTGTTTGAAAACAGGAAACAGTCCAGCAAGGCAAATCTATCTCATGCCTAGGTTAATTGTTCGTTTGTTATCGTCAGTGTTTAAATTTCTGCACCATTACTCTGCTCTGCTTTCTTCTTGTCTTCTGGCATTTTCGACAATGTTATTATTTTCATGTTGTATCGAAGAGCTGTTTAACAAATGTGGGCTTTTTTCCCTGCATACATAAAGCAATCAAGGTTTTCCCTGAAAGGTCTCTTAAATGTAATAAGAAGGACACTGTGTCCATTGGGCATATTTTTTCTATTTCTTGTTCCTGTTATGATTCCTGTTTGTTCATGAACACTCTGACTGGGGAACACTCATCTTGAATTGTAGATATCTTTGTATCTTGATCAACAATCTGGGTGAGGGATCGAGTGCACCCTCAGTCAGTTTGCAGATGACACCAAGCTGAGTGGGAGTGTTGATCTGCTGGAGGGCAGGAAGGCTCCACAGAGGGATTTGGACAAGCTGGGTCCATGGGCTGAGGCCAGTTGTATGAAGTTCAACAAGGCCAAGTGCTGGATCCTGCTCTTGGTTCACATCAACTACATACAGTGCCACAGGCTGAGGGCAGAGTGGCTGGAAAGCTGCTCAGTGGAAAAGGACCTGGAGGTGCTGCTTGCCAGCAGCTGAACACGAGCCAGCAGTGTGCCCAGGTGGCCAAGAAGGCCAATGCCATCCTGGACTGTATCAGCAACAGTGTGGCCAGCAGGACAAGGGCAGTGATTGCCACTCTGTATTTGGCATGGGTGAGGCTGCACCTCACATCCTGTGTTCAGTTTTGGGTCTCTCATTACAAGAAAGACATTGAGGTGCTGGAGTGTGTCCAGAGAAGGGCAACGAAGCTGGTGAAGGGTCTGGAGCACAAGTCTTACGAGGAGTGGCTGAGGGAGCTGGGGGTGTTTAGCCTGAAGAAAAAGGAGGCTCAGGGAGGACCTCATTGCTATCTATGAGTTCCTGAAAGAAGGCAGTAGTCTGATGCAGGTTGGTCTCTTCCCCCTGGTAACAAGTGACAGTAGGAGAGGCAATGGCCTCAAGTTGCACTAGGGGAGGTTTAGATTAGATATTAAGAAACATTTCTTCTGGGAAAGGGTTGTCAAACACTGGAATTGACTCCCCAGGAAAGTGGTTGAGTTACTCTCCCTGGATGTACTACTTAGGGTCATGGTTTAGTGTTGGACTTGATGTTAGAGGTCTTTTCCAACCTAAAGGATTCTGTGATATCAGAACTGAGATTAAAACTCAGTGGCAACTATGCCAATAGTTAAACTTTGTTTATGCAATACATTTACCCATTTATATATCACATTATTCCATGCATTGAGATTTCATGTTTGACTGATTTGTCTTAACGTGATGCAAGCCTTTTTCAGAGAGCTTTCTGTTCTGTAAGGTTCACCTGTGTTCTTTGTACGGACTGTATTAAACTGATCAGAGTTTTCTCAGTCTCAGATCCTTTATTGTTTGTTAATTTTTACTCCAGTTGGTCTGTGCTCTATCAAATGATGTCATATAATTTTTAAAAATATTAAATAACACAAGAGGGCAAAGTATATATGTACAGGAGTCTTACGAAAACATGTTCTTGATGCTGGTTCTTCACTGATTGTGTTGTATTTGTAGCATCCATTTCCAGTGCTCTGTGATGACTTTGTATTAATTGAGTTCTGTTGGGTAACCATAACAGAAGCAAACAAAGCACAGTGCCTGATATTTCATAGCAACTGCACTTAAATGCTTTCATCCCTTTATACATGTGGGATGCAAGGACAAGAATGTATGACTGGTAGTTGCTGTCACTGTGAAATAGCTCACACTCCTGCTCATTTTAGATTTGTTTGTCTACCTGTGTTCAACTCTTGAAATTGTGGTATTAGCAGATATATTTTATGTTTATCGAAATTGGTATTTATGACATAGGTGATAATCATCATGATTTTGTGGAAAAAATTTCATCAATGCTGTTAACCCTATTTTATGTCAAACAGTGCATTATTTTCTCTTGGATTGACTCCTGGGTTTCAGTCCAGGGTTGTCCAGATTGTACTCTGTTTCCT